GGACCAGTCGATCGCAGATTTTGACGGCTGTCCAAACGCGTGCACGGTGACGTGGCTTAAGAGTCATACAATTGACTGTGAATTTCATATCACTTGGTGGCTAGGTTGGTTAGGCGCTAGTACAGGTGGCCCGAGGGTCGTGGTTTCGAACCCGGCCCCCGGGATTTTCAATAATTAGCGGCGGCCGTGTTAAATTTGAATTTTTTTTCACTTTTTTTTTTTTCATCGTTTCGCTATCACTTCCGTCTTATCATTTTTAACGTAAATGTTCCGTTTTTTTCAAAATTCGAGTCTTAACGCCCCTACTGACTTCGGACCTCCCCGTTGAAGACTTATTCGCGTTCCCTTGTCCCCGTCTTTATTACTATACATGGGCGTGAATATAATATGCGACGAAGAGTTTGATTTCTCTTTTTTTTTTTTGTTTTTTTTCAAAAATTCGAGTTTTAGCTCCTTTTGGTCGTATTACCCTCCCCGTTTGAATCTTATTCGCGTTCCCCGCTAAATTTATAAGCCGCCCGCGTCAGTACTTCGCTCGAGTCGAGTTCCGCGGAGGAGTTCCGCAGCGGACAGTGTTGTTATTAGGTACTATAAACGGAAATGAAAATATGCGACGAAAAGTTCGATTTTTTGATTCAAGAAACTGCGTTATTATGTTATATTTTACTGCTTACACGATCTACCCACAGAGTCGGTCTGTAGGTACCTGGTACATGCATATTATAATATATAAATGTATATTTATCAAGAGTTGATACACGGTGGCTGCGTTGGTTTAGTTAAATTATATACTTTATAAAATATTATCCCAGCTCGAGTCGACGATGGATGTCACAGAAACAATAATATAAAATAATTATATATTAGGTATTATTAATTTGAGTATACAATAGGTAGGTTTAATCAAATTAATAAATAGATAATTGATAAATAACAATATTTAGATAATTGACAACCACAGCTAGGTATTGCTTTTATTATCTACATTTGTGAGCAACGCACATGGGCTCGATTAAATATAAATATATAATATATTATGTAGTAGGTACTTGATACAGCTATTACAGTTTTTAGGTCAGTAAGATTTGGTTTGATTAAAATACTGCTACAGATACAAATAATAGTTAATACTATATTAATAAACAAAATAGAACTTTATGTAAGTACCTCTTTATTTTAAGTCTGGCAATTAGATTGTATAATGAAATATGAGTATTATATGAAATAAACTATTTGTTATTATAACGACTATGGTTAGGTATCTTATACTTACTTGAAAAGACAATAGTAATAGTAACCAACATACTTGTAGGTATACTAGGTACTACTCAGGGCCGGAGCGAGGGGGGGTTTAAGGGGTCGTCACGACCCCTCACTCATTTAACCTAATATTTCAGTCGGCACATTAACACATTGTCAAATACAACAAAAATATGTATAAAATATAAAAATACAAAGAAAAAAAAAATTAAAATAAACCAATTAATTCCTATGGCTAATGAACTTTGTCGTTTGGCATTAACATCACCAGTTACCACAGCTTCAAATGAACGATGTTTCAGCAAGCTAAAATTAATCAAAAACCATTTAAGAACTACTATGACCAGTTCCCGATTAAATGATTTGATTATACTTGATTCTGAGAAAGACATTTTAGATAATATTGAAATGACAAATATGATACAAATATGGCATCGTTAAAAGAAAGAAGAATTTCGGTGTAATATATAATTATTATATATATAATTTTTTTATAATTTTTGTATTTGGAATGCACATTCTGACAATGTTAAATGATATTTTGTAAAATGTAATATATTATAATACTTATTTGTTATAAAAAATAGTTATTGTTTTATGATGCATTGATGCTCATTTAAAATCAAAATAGATAGAGATACTAAAAAATCAGTTTCGATCAAAAACTCTAAGTAAAAACTAAAAAGGCAATATTGTTGGTAAATAGTGATTTAAATAATTGAAAAATGTCTCTAGGATTTTGTTTATTCTTTATCATATGATACAAAAACATTATTAGTTTTATTGTTTTATTTATAAACGGTTTGACAAATTTTTACTCTGGAACAATATCATAATTAATAGTGAATATTGAAAAATATGTATAAAAACATGCATTTATCAAGATTTTATACTAAGTTTTTGCTCCAACATAGTATGGAATTGTCGAAACAAAAACTTGACATTTTGAGTGTCGCAAAAATTTTTTTTTAGTGTTTTATAATTATGCATGAATTTCAGTCGTCACTTTCGTTAACCACGACCCCTCACAAATATTAGCTAACGCCGGCCCTGGTACTACTTAATATATTACAGTTTTTAGGTGAGTCAAATTATGTATATTAGTAAACAAAAAATTACTAACTATATTATGTATTTAATTAAATTCTGGCAGTTATGTTGTATAATGATAAGACATAATTTGATATTACTCAAAATATGTGTAGGTCTATCATGTTTATTTATGTACATGAGTTTCAAATCAATAAAACAAAAACATAATTAATAAATGATGAATAACAAATTTATATTATATATTATGTACTTACATATGACCTATATGCATTATAATATATATATATTACTATTATACCCATAGATGTATTAAGTATATACAATATAAACTACATTCATACACACTTGCATACACATAACAGATAAGTCATAACACAATGATGCACCATTATAAATGTGCAATTATAATTACTAAATAATTTAAACTATCATGAATATCATATGACATTAAATAAATTGGTAGGTAGGTACATAATATATTATATACAGTCATACAATATAACAGCAAAATATTATGATAGTAGACCTACTCAGTAAGATAAATGCCAAAAAATACAAACTATATGCATTGTATAGTGTATACATTTATACATACCTACGTTTAAGGTCAATCAAATTTGCTATTCATCAATAAAATGATCTATTTATTAATTTGATTTAATTCTCATAATTAAATAAATATACAAGGTAGGTACAGCTATATATGTAAGTAATATCAAATAGTATAGAAAATATTATACAATTATTAAATAACTTTACTACCCACAAACTTTACTTAAATATATAAAGATCTTTTTTATTTATTAATATAATAATATATATTATATAGAAACAGTATTTGTATGCTACATTAAATTATTAATTACCAAAATAAAAAAGTGGCTATTTGATTACCTCAACCAATTAACTTAAATGACAACTGTAATATTATATTGATAAGTATGCATTTATTAGTTCATAACAAGGACTGGAACCGTAACTTTTTGAAAATCTTATGACCGGAACAATTAAATACATTTTTTTAAGAAAAGAAACCGAAACCTATATTTTGATGTAGAGGTTTTTTCGGTTTTTTTTGGTTCCAAAATCCAATAGATATTTCATCTGTGGTGTAAGTAGGTAATAACTAATTATTACTAATAATAAATAAATAATTATAAAATCGTAGACCTAAATTTTGGCGTAATGACGTCGAGGAAGGTGACTCGCGGTAGTCAGATTTCTTATGAAATGTTTTGAATTTTTTCACATAATTCATAACTTAATTTTGCGTTGTCTGTGACTGTAATGGACGCTGTCCTGGCCGCACGTTGCCTACAAGGATAACATAGATGGGTGACCTGTTAGACACCAAAATCAGACGGTGGCTATATGATTTGCACGGACGCCCGAAATATTTTGAATTTTCTTCACGAAATTTATTCTTTAATTTTGCGTTTTCGGTAACAGTAATGAACGTCGTCCGCGATTCGACGCAGTCGGATTGCATACGTGATGACGTGCTCCAGCCGTCGAATATTGTCGGATTGGCTTTAAGGGTGACTACGACCAAAGTCGAGAAACGTGACTGACCAGCTAGACCCCAAATACTATAACTACGCCGAACGTCATTCGAGGTGACTGACCGGCAAGACACCCACAAAAATACAACGACTATATTATATTTTATATATTTTACTATATTAGATTTTCATAATCTTGTGTAGGTTCTGCGATATGATTCAAGTCCTATGCAGTGTTGAGCAGTATCTAGATAAATGTATCTAGATAATGTATCTAGATAAAACTACAGCATCTTTATCTCATCTAGATAAATAAAATATTAGGTATCTGATTGTCATCTAAGATAAACTGTATACCTATCTAGATAAATATACCTAGATAAATAAATAATTTTTAGTTTAGATTGATTTGTTGGTAGGTAGTTTGGTACTTTTAATTTTTTTATTTTATCTTGTCATTGATCAAACAAAATATTATTGCACTATTTCTGAAAATAAACGTGAATATATTTATTTTTTTCTTAGCAGTAATTTTATTGACAATACCTAAAAATATTATAATAGTATAATATTCATACGAATGTGTTTTGTTCTTTGTTATTTATTATTACGTTTCTCGTGTAATGTTGATTACTAGAAATGGTTTCAATGAAATAATATCGTTCTTGTCTATTTATATAAAGCTAAATAATATTGTTATTACGTAATAGTATAAAACCCTCGTCCAGCAGCGCCCATTATTTCGTGAACTCGTAATGGAAATATTCTATTATGAGGCATGACAAGTCTATACTCTATAATATAGAGTCTATAATAGTTAATAGTATATTATAAATTATAGTATATTAATAGTTTTCGGAATTCGGCACTGTCCCGATAGACGTTCACAACTTCACGTTATAATAATAATATTATCTTGATTTTTGGATGGTGAGGCGGTGTTCGGAGGGTATATCGAACATAAATAGCTCAGAAAATAATAATATTTGCCATTTGGTATATCTCGTAAACAATAATATTTTATTCTTGTTCATTTGTTAACGTTCACTCGCAGTCGTCGCTCAACGTTGAACCTTCAACCTTGAACGTATTTATGTGTAATTCCATATTAGCTGTAAAGTGTAAACTTTTGAAAGTATTTACCTGTTACCTATATTATATAAATAACTGTACCTATTATTTTTAATGGAGCGATATATTAGTATTACTAAAACATCAGAGCCTAAACCAAAAAAAGCACGTATTCATGAAAATGTTAGTGATCCTAATGTTCCTGTTAGTGGTGTGGCAAGTACATCAACACTAGAACTTCAACAAAGTCACTCAACAATCGTACCCAAATTTCAATATTTGTTCAATCGTTTTTACAAGTTAATGACAATAAATGGTGAGAAACTAACGGCTTCGTGTGAATATTGTCCACAAATTGTAAGTGCATCTACAACATCCAGTGGGAACTTGTTAAGCCACATTAAAGTAAGTACAAGTACAAAATATGTCAAATAGTACAACATTAAATTATAATTATTTAGTAGTAGGTACCTACTGTTTATATTTTCTATCAATATTTCAAGTGCAAACATTTATTATTAAAATCTAATTCATGTATCTACAGACTACAGTACCTACATGTACCTATTTTAATTATTTAGGTATTTATTATTCAATATTATTTTGTCAATTTGACCGGTTTAGCAAACTTTTATTTGTAAAAAAATAACATTTTATTAATTATCAATATATTAGTCAAACAATAATTTGTAAAAACATAGTTACATTCCTATTTAGTATTTTACAGAGTATTTTATTATCTTGTCAGTTAGTTGTATCAATCCAAAACTTTTAAATGGTTGTTTAATTAGCTACCTAAACCTAATGTTGTATTTCTTTTTTTTTTAGAAAAAGCATAGTTTTTTGATGCCAAAAGTTGAAGATGCGAGAAGAGAAAAGAATCAGTCATCAAATATCACTCAGACAAAAATTATGATTAATGATGTTTCTTCAAATAAAGTTTCAAAACAAAAGGTATTCCTTGTCAATAATTTAATTGATGTCCATGTACGTGTAATATTATATTATTATACCAGAATCTATTAAAATTCTTAACTATTACCTATACAAAATACATAATAGTCTTAAATTTATTGAAATTAAAAAGTCAACAACAATATGGTTTCATGTTAATAAACTACTACTATTACTAAGTCTTAGATTTATTTTAAGACATGAAATTGTATTGGTCTAATGCAGTAAATTTATTTATTTAACTCAATAATTTGTTTAATAAAATAAAATATATTATTTCAGATTAAAGAATTAGTGTTTAACTATATTGTCAATGAAATGCGTCCATTAATTACATGTGAAAAAAAGGCTTTTCGGGAATTAATAATTGGGTTAACTGGATTGAAAGACACCTCTATGATCCCTGATCGAAGACAAATGCGGTCTCATTTAAAATCTACTTATGCAGCATATGTGGAGATGTTGACAGATTTAATCAAAAATCATAACTATATTTGTATGACTGCAGACATTTGGAGCACAAACAATAAGAGTTACATGGGTAAGTAATCACTAATTAAATATATGTGCCTATATGTAAACATGTAACTAAAATGGAGAATAACTTGATTCAATAGAAATAAATGTTCATAGGCGTCACTATATCGTTTTGCTTCCACAAAATTATATTCAATAATTATTATTCAAAAAAATGTGTAGTAACTTACAGTATAAATTCAAAATATCATCATCAAAACAATTTTCGATTGTTCAAATTTATAAGTTCCATCTTCTATATTCTAATAATATTATCAAGTTCAGTTAAAATTATAAATAATATACTAAATATATTTATGCTATAAAAAATAGTGATATAAAGTTTTCCAAATTTGGAAAAATAAATAGAAGGCTATTTATTGTAAATATTTTTTTTGCTACCATAGAATTTTGATTCTAGTTACGCCAATGAAATGTTATTAATAATTGAATATCTGGTAATCAAAAATATCTAAAATGATCCAAAATATTTATGAAATAAGTAATAACTAATTAATAAAATTGTTTCATTCTAGGTATGACATGTCATGTCATTAATAACAACACATATCAACGGGAATCATTCATTCTTGGATGCAAGCGGATGAAAGGAAGCCATGATTATCTTAATATTGCCGAGGTTATGACAGATATTACTGATAATTATAGAATAGATCTTTTAAAAATAACCCACACTGTAACAGACAATGCAAGCAATTTCGGTAAATCTTTTCGAACATTTTCAAAAGCTTTACCTTCTGAACTTCAATCGAATTCCCCTACTATGGGTAATTTTAATGAAGATGATGATGTAAGTAGCTCTAATAGTGAAACAGATGGTGAATGTTCTAGTCTGGATATAGTGAATGTTGATGCTGTACTCTCAAACCCAGGACGACTTGAAACAAGTAACGATAGTTTATTTTTGCCCCCACATATTACTTGTTGTGCACATAGCTTAAATTTAATTGCTACTCATGATATTTCTACCATTGAAGATAATAAGTACAAAAAAATGTCTGAATCAACATTTCAAAAATTGTCAAGTTTTTGGAATATTTGTAGCAGGAGCACAGTTGCAGCTGCCGCAATCGCGGCGGCGTTATCACTCCTCCTTATCGCTTTTCGCGGTTTCGACCGTCTTTCACGATTTTTTTTCAAAATGTTCGAGTTTTACCCACCGGGGGGCCTCGGGCGGCCCCGTTCGGACCTTATTCGCGTTCCTCGGTAAATTTATAGTCGGCGCGCGGCCCTACTTTTTTCCCGGCGGGCCCGCGGCGGCGGATGTCACGTGCGATACGAGCACCGCCGTCGCGCGCGTTTTTTGCATTTTTTTTCGAAAATTCGAATCTTAGGCGTTTTAGGGCGTATCGACCTCCCCGTTTGGATCTTATTCGCGTTCCCCGCTAAATTTAACGTCGAAACGTGGCCCTATTTTATTAAAAACGAGTCCCCCGGCGGACGAGGCGATCGCCGAGAGCGCCGCGTCGTCGCCGTTTCGACGGTTTTCTCGACTTTTTCGACTAGAGTCGCGTTTAGCACCTCTACGAGACGTCCGACCTCCCCGTCGTCGACGTATTCGAGTTCCACGCTAAATTTATAGCCGGCTCGCTTACCTACTTTTTTCAAAAACGAGTCCCGGGGAGGAGCAACGTCGCTTAAACGAGAGTAGGTACCGATTGGGTATCGAGTAGGTACCGCTATATACAGGGATAAATACGTGCGTCTTGAGGTTCGAATTTTTTCGTAAAGCTCGCGTTTTATACGTCCGAGGGCGGCGGAGCCGGTCGTCCGCTCGCCGACGCTGTCGGATCGCCAGCTCAAACGCCCTTTGACGGCCGTCCAAACGGCGTTCGCCTTTCGCGAGCACGGCGACGCGGCTTAATAGTCATAGAATTGACTCTGATTTTCATCTGAGTAGGTGGCTAGGTTGGTTAGGCGTTAGGATAGGTGTCTCGAGGGTCGTGGGTTCGAAGCCGCCCCCCGTGATTTTCGGTAATTTGCGGCGGCCGTGATAAATCGAATTTCTTATTTTTGCTTTTATTTTTTTCGTCACATTTATCATTTTTAACGAAAGTGTTAATTTTTTTTTTAATTTGCATTATTATATTATTATATATATTATTATTATTCGTTTGACGATATTTATTGGGCAAAAAAATAATTAAAATTAACATTTAATTAATACTTGATTTTACCGACGCACCTACATGTTTCTTTTATAAATACATTACAATTTAACTAACCTATACGTGTAGTACCTACCTGATATATTACAGTTTTTACGTGATTCCGATTTGGTTAAATACCGCTATAGATTATAAATACTATATTAAAAAATAGTAATGACTGCTTCATTTGCCGTTTTTTTTCGAAAATTCGAGTCCCGGGGTGGAAACGAGAGTAGGTACCGTGTAGGTATCGCTATATACATACATACAATATATATACATGCGCCTCGAGGTTCGATTTTTTTTCGCAAATCTCGCGTTTTGAACGTCCGAACGGTCCTCCGCTCAAACGCCCTTTGACGGACGCGCAACCCGCAACTCGCAACCCGCAACTCGATAAATTGATTTTTTTTTCGTCGTTTCGCTATCACTTCCGTCTTATCATTTTTTTGTTCCGATTTTTTTCAAAATTCGAGTTTTAACGCCTCTTCTGACTTCGGAGCTCCCCGTTTGAATCTTATTCGGGTTCCCTGCTAAATTTATAGCAGGTGCGCGGCCCTACTTTTTCACAGACGAGTCCCGGGAAAGAGCGGCGTCAGGGAAAAGGGAGTAGGTACCGTGTAAGTATCGCTATATACAGCAATAAATACATGCGTCGCGTCGTTTTTTGCGTTTTTTTTCTAAAATTCGAAAATATGCGACAAAAAGTTCGATTTTTTCATACACACTTTCATACACATAATACATAAGTCATAAGTCATAACACAGTGATGCACCATTATAATTATGCAATTATAATTACTAAATAATTTAAAACATCATAAATATCATATGACATTAAATAAATTGGTAGGTAGGTACATAATATATTATATACAGTCGTACAATAAAACAGCAAAATATTATGATAGTAGGTACTTACGAAGATAAGTAGGTCCGTTTTTTAGTATAGCTGATATTTTTATCAAACCATACAATTTGTTTGTATTTTTTTTGTATAACGAACTGTTACTATTAAGCTAACATTTAATACTTACCTATTCACAAGTACAAACGTTTAAAAATATATTGTACTAGGTACCGATTGTAAAATAACTCTAAACGAATATTTAAAAAATAAATAAAAAATAATAAACAAACTAAGTATAACAACTTCTTTAAATCATAATATAAAAATTAAAATCGCAAAAATTTGAAAACGCTAGTTTTAAAAGAATATCTTGTATGGCTGTATCATACATTGATTATATTATTTTAATAAAAGGTACATACTATTCTTAATAACTTTAAATATTTCTATACTTACCATTTTTAACAAGATGCAATAATTTCAAATAAAATAACACAATGCACAAGCTACTAACAATTAAATACAATATAGGAACATGCGACTGCACTGGACTTCAAAAGAGAACAGAGTCACTGTAATTTTAACTAAATAATATTGTTTTCATTGGGTAAAGTCCTCCACATAATATTATTGTGTAAACGCAAATCGACGACACCCGAGCTACTACGTACAAAATAGAAAAACCCAAAAGAATACAGCACGCGAGTGACAAGGCAACGCGATAAGAAATTACCATATAGTCACTATCTTAAATAATAATTTTGTTTAATAGTTTTATTCATTTATATTGTAAAAAAAACACATGGCTATATTTTTTAAACTGGTTATTGAAACACTGTCATTACTTCTAAAATGACAAGTTAAGAACCGTGGAAATTGCTCTGAAGCATAGTGAGTATCGTATGTAGGTATATCTCGTCATTGAGTCGCTGTAATGAATATCAGAATATGATATATTTTAAATCAATAATTAATTTTATTTAACATATTATTATAGGTATAACTGATAAATATTTTATGAATAACGAATTTTCGTGGAGACATTCGGTCGAACATTACATAATACGTTATGTGGTACTTAAGTATTATAATTTATAATATTCCGACCTACCTGTAATTTTATTTTTTTTCGTATGGCGTTGTCGCGTTGAGCCGTTGGCCCGAAGGCCTAACTAAGTTCTGACGCTATGGACTTATGCATAAGAATAATACATTTTGAATTATAATTAATAATTGTTATTTTTTGTTGAAAAAATATTAAAAGTTGTCAACATTCAAACATGATAATGAAATATAAAAAATATTATAAAAACAGTAAAAATGTAGTTAAATTAGTTAAAATTTATTTTTTGGGGCTGCAAATAGTTGCAAATATTTTTAAAAACTTAGTACTTAGTACTTAGTTTGCAAAATATTGACACCGGTTTGGAATGCACGGGATCAGCTAGTATTTCATAAAATAATAAATTAATATTTATAAAAAAATCTATACTTGATAAAAAATCTTATTCTATATTTCTATTTTAATCTATGTGTATTAAAAACTAAGAAGAATAAAAAAAAATATGATGGAATATAAAAGACAATTATGGAAAAAAAAAATTATTTGCAAAAGTAAAGCACGAAAAATACAATTTTGATTTGCAAATTCTAAAAACCAATTTGCAATTATTTGCAATTAATTTGCTAAATATTGGCGTTTGTTTGGAACGGATCGGACAAAGTGGGGGGGCTGACCAAATTTGCAAAAAAATTCGCCAAAATTCCAATTTTGATTTGCAAATTCTAAAAACCGATTTGCAATTATTTGCAATTAATTTGCTAAATATTGGCGTTTTTTTGGAACGGATCGGACAAAGTGGAGGGGCTGACCAAATTTGCAAAAAAATTCGCCAAAATTCCAATTTTGATTTGCAAATTCTAAAAACCGATTTGCAATTATTTGCAATTAATTTGCTAAATATTGGCGTTTGTTTGGAACGGATCGGACAAAGTGGGGGGGCTGCATGAAGTTAGCACAATTTAATAATTTTAATTTTGGTAAAAGCGACAGTAAAAACAATTTATCCGGATCATCGTCGGTTTGTTTATTTTTCATAAGATCAACGAGTTGATTTTCAAAAGGTGACATTTTTTCATCATATTTATTTGATTTTAATGTTCCTAATCTGGGCTTTTTGAATGACTTTCTTCTTCCACTTCTTTTTCTACTTCTTCATTTGCTTGTTCTTCATCAGCATCATCTTCAATTCCATTATATTTCAGTATCAAAATTAAAATTACCTTCAGTCCTAAAAGAAGGATGTTTTTTTAAATTTTTAGTAAAATATATGTGTCGTACAAAATAAATAATTAATTAGTATTAAGTATTTATTTATCAAGTATTTACTTAATATTTATAATATAAGTTAAATATTAAGTTATTTAAGTATAAGCAAGTAGTTAATATAAATATTAATTGTATTTATTATCAAAGCACTGAGCACTACTAACCTTCTATTATCCATTGTTGGTTTCAAAAACTCCAAAATATTGGAATAAATATATTCTTTAATTTTATTGGCAGCTTGCCCTGATTTTGTAATGCATTTCCTCCGATAGGTATCTTTTAAGTTTTTCCACTTTTTCTGGAGTATAAGGACTGTAAATAATAGGTATTGTAGAGATAGTCTGCATATATATATTATTAATGAAGTATGTGATTCATAAGTAAAAAAAAAAATGTGTAAATAGTATGTAATTTCGTCCAAATTTGAATTTAAAATATCTGTAAAAAATAACTTTGTTTATATATTTTTTTGATTTTTGGTTAAAGTATGAACTATTTATGAGAATTTTTGTTTTAAATTGTTGATCCTTAGTCATAAAAACTGATCATTTTTTAATTACCTACAATGATTGATAATTTTAGAGATTTTGATAAATATTGTAAAAATTTGAACTATAAAGCTTATGAAAAAAAATTGTTCCAATTTATTTTCAATATTTTTCAACTGCTATTGTGACATTCAATATTCAGGAGGTTTGTATTAAATGTTCACTCTTTTTGACCTAACAAATAAAATTGTATCGATATTTATAGAAAAAAACCAAAATAAATTTTAAATTGTCCGTCAAAAAGCTTAAAATGATTTAAATATTTACAACAATTTTGAAAACTACTTGGAAATTTTTACTTTTGGCCACACCTAAGTATCAACTAGATTCACT